ACAGTAAATATACCTGATATTATAGGTGGAACTGCATATAGGCAGTGTATGCAAAAATCATATGCAAATACTTGGGACTACTGATATACCTCTCAAATAGAAAAAGTACAAACTCTGAAACAGCAATTACCAATAGCAATAACCTCTAACCAGAAAATCAAGTTATTCCTACAGAGGTCAAAACTGAGACCTCATATTACACTACAGGCACAAAATAAACTTAGTTTTCTATAGGAAAGCTTGTAAATTGACAACTGCTTCCCTGCACATATAAATTGCATGCACTGTATGAATCCTGTGCACTGAAATATAATTACCCATTGATAAACACAGATAGGAGCGACATTTAGGTCTACAGGACATGAGAAATGTAATTTTCCCCTAAGCTTCTAGTGTTTAATAAAGTACTGTCATCATGATTTATATATTTAATTTTAGAAGGAAAATGGAAGATTGGTAGCCTCTGACTGGCAGTGTTTTGGTCTCTGCTTGTAACCTTTTATATAAACCTATTTCGTTCACAATAAATTCAGCCTAACCATAACCTAAGTATTATGTTGTGTTTAATGAAGAAAAAAAAAAAAAAGGTCTTGACAATAGATCTGAAATGAAGTTTGCACAAGTTCTTGGAGCAACAGTCAAGAAAAGCCAATAACAATAACAGTACCTGTCAAGGTACTGCTCAAATGTGAAAGCATTGGTAGACAATTATTGTATATTCACCTTGCTGATTTTTAAGTGTCATGTTGGTGCGCCTTGGTGATCAGGGAACATAAGAGGTAGCAAACAAAAACAATTAAAAATGAACCTAAAAGTGAATCATTTTCCAATATTCAGCATGATTTCTTAGTCAAAGTTGGGAGGGAATTTTAGATGTTTTCTGCCTTTGGCACGCTTAAAATGCATAGCTCATAAGTGCAGTAACCACCTCTGTACTAATGCTATTTCACTGCAATCAAAAATTCCCTGTTAGAAAACTGACTATTTCAATGGCTGTTTTATTCCCCCATAGAGCTCAGTTGGTCTCGGTGATTTGCCTCTCCTGGCAAGTCATTCAGTCAGACAGAGGGAAATTACTTTTTTCATGTTTCATGGTCACTGTTTATAGATTCAAATGTGTGATGCTGAAAATGCGCACAGGAGATATTAAGCGAGAAATCAATATGCTCCATGGAATTAAGACCAGACAGTGCTTGGTTTTGGTTTACCCATGCGGCCGTGCTGAGCGTAGACAGTATCGATTTCCCCCACCACAGGTGTGTGACCTCCTTCCAACGGCATAAATTTTTATTTCGTTGTATTTTAGACTTGTATTTGTTTCACTGGGTACTTTGCCCTGTTATTCTGTTGCTACGCTCTGGGAAACAATCAATACAGTTTGTTAATTAAAAAAGGAAAAAGAAGGAAAAAAAAGGAGTTATGGCATATATGTGTTGAGAAAGGTGTGAGGAAGAAGCCCCTGACTGTCTGATTCAGTTGTGCCAAGTTTTGAGGACCAGGTGCTCAACTAAATGCCGAATTCTGCACATCCCCATCCGGGACACGGACCTGCTGGCTCTAATGGCAGGCAGGAGTTTCCCCTGGGACCAGGATCCATGTGCTGGGGCAGTGGAGCCAGCCAGGGGCAAAGAGAATTCCCTGGTTTGCAGTTTTCCTCACCCAAGTAGCCACTACTTAAATCAAATGACCATGGCTCCTTCCGGGCAGGCCAGGGGCAATTCCCCATGGAACAGGAATTCAAAACCCGCACTCAAGTGCCTGAGTTTTCCTTACCCCTTTGAAAGGGAACTCATGCGGGGTGGAGCAGGGCCGTGTCCCTGAGCTGGCGTGGGGCTCAGAGCAGTAATTTTTGGAGAGGTGACCTGCCTAGTTTCACCTTGAGAGCTAAGCACACCCTTTTCACTGCTGCTATTGGCTTTCATTGCTGATCGTATTCTGTTCAGTTAATACATTTCACTCAGGAAAACAAATCATCCTCTTTGCTTTTCTAAGGGCTTGTAAAGTCAATGGGTCCCTATTCACCTGCCAAAACCTTTGGCTGCTGCTGTCAAAGCTAGGCTTTTTTTTTTTTTCCTACAAAAACTGGAAGCAAATTAAAAAGTCATCTAAACTTAAATATCAGGTTAACCATCAGGCAGCTACTCTTTTTCTTATGTTTTCTCATTTATTTTAAAATTGATTGAAGGCTGCCCAGAAGCCTCTGTCCCCGCCACTGTATGGGCTGACAGCAGAAATTAGGTTACGCTTGCTCGGGAGTCCGGCAGGACCTTGAATGAAGGGTGACCTTTGCCTTCCCTGCCTCCATTTCGTAGGCTGCTTTTGTGCAGCAGAGGACAAGAAGAACGCCTAAAGTAGGTCACTGGCCCCTGAAGCACAAAGGCTGTCACCACGGCCTGAGGGACGAGCCCACAAGCTGCTGAGGCCCGCAAGGACTTTCGCGGCCACCCAACGCTTCACCGCGGGTGCCGGCAGCGGGGCAGGCGGGAGCGCTGCGGGCCGATGCCCTGTGCTGCCCCCACAGCGGGGTCGTCTCCTTGGCCCCCTGGCCAGGAGATACCACAAGGCAGGGGTCGCTTGACAACCCGACCTTTTATCTGCCGCCCCTCATTGCTTTCTTAAAGCAAGGATTGGAAACCTTTATCCACGCTGGTTTTCTTCCCCCAAAGCCCTTGGCTGACTGAAAAAAATAACTTATTCCCTCTATGGCTCTTTTCCATAGTATTCCCAGGTTGAAAAGAAACTCTTCTGAAGGCAGGTCCAGCTGGGTGGGGGTATCCCAAACCACAGAAATCACCTTTGACAGCACTGCGTTTGTGGCCGACCATTTGCTATGTTTTGGTCAGTACTGGGAGAGCGTTCTGGCTTTGCTGGGGCAGTGGCGTGCGCGTTGGCTCCGTTATTTGGGTCTACTGCAGACAATCTGTGCCTGTGACCCTTCCTCCCTCCAGCCCTCCCAGGTTTCCCCATCAAAACTACACTCACAGACAGAACTAGCTTCTTTATTATAAAGATACACTATGAGGAACAAACCTGAATGTATACGGAAGCTTGTAATGGTACATGCCAAAATGTACAGTACTATACATAAAAGTGCATTGTCACAACAGATTAACAGTACATTTCTCTTCCAGAGCCGTGAACTTTCTGTGTTGGTATTTGTTCTTTGCGAGTGGAAGGAATGCAATGGGAATGCAGCCATACAAGAACAGGGAAGGGTGCAATGGAAATGCAACAGTACAAGAGCAAGGCTAAAGCTCCTCTAAAATTTAAAGGCACTTTCACATGTACATACTACAGATGTACATTGACACAATTAGGTAACAGTCAACAAGCAGGAAGCTACCAGTACTGCAATTTATCAAACTTGACAGTAAAGGACAATACTGATTTCATTAGGTGTGCAGGAGTTACCCTTTAGTACGCCTGTAGTTGGATCAGTCTTTCCTGTTACATATCCACTTACTATACTTTTAAGTAGCTATAATAACCATCAAACTACACATTTAACTGTGTGAATGCACTAAGTGGATGCATTCACTAAATGCACTGTTTCTAATATTTTCTTTTGCTAAACAATTTCTAATATAAGCATTATGGAGTCCAGTACAGTTATTTAAACATACAAAATTCCCTATGTAATTTAAAGATACAGGTATCCATCTCAATTATGCCAGGTAAGTTATTTTAAAAATGCTAGACTAAAACTGCACGTAAGTGAAAGCTGAAATTCCAGTTTGTTCCACCGATTCTAGCAGACCTGGGAACTACTCGAAAACCTTTTCTGAGCGAGCGGTCAGCCCTAGGGACGAGCGTTGCTCTGCGCTGTGTGTCCCCACACGCGGCGTTACCGCTGGACGGCACAGCCCGGAGGGGCGCAGCGGCGACGCGAGCGCAGCCATCCCGCCCACGCCGGCACCGTCAGCGTGTCGGGACTCGCTGAGCGGTGGAGCACGGCCCAAGCAGCCCACAAGGCACCCGGTGCAGCTGCAGCCACCGCGGCATTTGAAGAGCGGCTGCAGCCCGGGGATGCAGTTCATGGGATGCTTCTCACACCAGGGGCCTCGCATTACCTATCTACAGAGCGTAAACCAGAGCAGGAACAAGCAGCTCCTAAATAACGACAGGAAATTGCTCCTGCCACCTTGGTAATTATGTTGATCCAGTTTTGTGGCTACTCTTCCCCTCCCTAATTCAATTGCTTATGTATAGTGAGTGGTACAACTTAGAGTTTTCCACTGATGAGATTTCAAAATAATTAGTAATTTGAGGAAAGACAGGTCTTAAAGCGAGTTGTGCTCCTGTAGGTAGACCTCAACTGATTTTTCCTCCCCCTCTTCTTCAATTAAATTTATTTTATGGACTGGATGTTGGCAAATACAGTTCACAGAAATAATAGTATGGCTTCGTGTTGTAATGTGCAAAACAGCTGTACACTTACTTCACACGTAACAAAAGTTAACAGCAGAGCGCCAAGCAAAGCTGACAGTCCTCACTCACACACAGACATGAGACAGGAATCGCCTTTTGTCAATAAAAGGGGGAAAAAAAAGGCATGGAAAACTTTAGTCAGCCTGAATCTAGGTGGCAGAAAACCAGCCGTGCGTCCAGCGCCTGACCCCGCGCAGCCGGCAGGAAGGAGCCCTTCTTCAGAGAGGCGCCTCCTGCCGCCTCAGCGCTGCGGAGGCAACGAGCGCCGTCTGCGCCGGGTCACACGGGTCGCGGCGCTAGGCCAGCCCCAAGCGACCCGACTGCCCCGCTCACATGGCGGCTCGGGTCGGACGCTGCGCAGGGGAGCCAGCGGGGCCCTGTGCCGAATTTCCGTGCGGCTGATCCTCCCGATCTCCTACGGACCCGCCAACGGGACCAACGCGCTCGCACGCGCTCCAGAGCCCGCCTCACTCGGCTGTGAACTTTAAATGGATTCAGCTCCTGTGGAAAATGTGGTATCAGGGAAGGAAATTTCCACGTTCATGAGAAAGGTACACTACTACAGGGGACAGCAAAAGCAGCTTCTTCACACTATCCTGGAGATATGCTTTGCCTACGGCTGGGAATGATGCTTTTTATTGGTGAGAGTAATGTGGTCTCCCTATCTATTTAGCACTTGTCTCTAGTAAGATTGCCAAAAACGATGCTAAAACTCGGTGCCAGTTTTGAGTGTGTGAGGGTTTTCTTTTGGTGTGTTTTAAATTAGAAAATGTGGCCTGGGATAAATTAGACCTTCCACAGCGGCCACTTAATCCTCACATGCTAGATTTCAGTTCTCACTAACCTAGTTGAGACTTGGTTTGGTGACCTAGAAATAAGAGGTTCCATGTCCCTTACGCTCCCCCCACCCCTCAGTTTTGTGCAGGATCCCTTATTATGTACCTATAGTAAGACTGTGAAATATGGTACAACGTGGCAAGCTAGTTGTGATCCGTGTTGGTTTTATTACAAATGGTGCAGCATTAAGTTTTCAAGTAAGTCTATGTTTGTATTTTAAAATGATGCACAATTGTCCAGTTTTGTTTTTAATTGAAACCATACAAAATACAAATGCCCATGTTAATGTAGCTAGTTTCAGACAATACATTCAAAAACACAGAAAAACAAAGCCTCTCCAGTTATAAACATGAACAAATGATGTTATGGAACCCTGACTTCTCTCGTTGAGCCATTCCTCTCCCTAGCATAGCTCAGCCGTGCGCTGCGGGTAGCTGAGCTTTTTTACATTGTGCAAGATTTGTCTGCTGGCCCCTGGGAAGGAGGGGCAGGTCCTATGCTAGGATTAGTTTTTGGAAGAACAATAGGTTTAGGCCTAAGAGCAGGAGGTTTCAGCTGCACTCCCATTCTAGGGGCCACCATGGGCTTGAACGTGCTCATGGTGTCACTGGAAGAACTCGTGCTCCGGCGGATCTGGGGCTCGGAGCTCCGCAGCACGACGCTGTGCAGCGGGCTCAGGGACTCCGTGGAGGTGGCCGGCGTGGGGGTGGTTTTCATCTGCTCCAGGGTGTCCAGCACCACGTCGGGGGCATGCTTGGCCGAGCTCTGCCGCTCCAGCTCGCGCAGCTCGTTGAGCGCCGTGTTCATGGTCTCCTCGATGTCCTGGTGAGAGCACAGGGAGAGCGGCACGTCAGGACACTCGCACGGGGCAGAAGGCGCAGGAGGAGGGGGCTGGAAACGCCCCAGTTGAAATGCCATCCATCTCCTCTTTAATGCACACTATAGCGTTAGAGCCAACTACAGCGTTCCTCTTTAATGCATATTACAGCATTAGAGCCAATTTCCACCAGATTCATTTAAGAAAAACTGTAGCTGGCACGATGGCAGCTTTGGCTCAACATTATATTATTATTTTTTTCCTCTTTACCTGATGCTTGAGTGTCAAAATTCAGCTATAATGAAACAAACCCATTTTACTAAGCGTCTGTTAAGAGAATGGACGTTTGCTTAGCAGCATCTTTTTTTTTTTTTTTTTTCAATTCTGATGATTTCTGTTACTCTTGGGTACTAATAACTGTTAAGATTTTACTCCGTTTGCTAACTCTTAGTTGGCTGCACCCCTCATATAGAGTCCCTTGGGTGTTTGGGATCAATAATCTCTCATAGAGGTGATAAAATTGGTTGTCTAAGGAAATGAAGCTCGTGTGTCTGTCAAGCCCTCTCTGTTTCTCTCTGTTAAATTTTAAGAAGAAAAAAACTACAAGACATTTTTCAATGAGGTCACCTAAGGAATTATTTTTCCTATCAGTAATTCTGATACAAATGCTAAAAGAATGAGCCAAGATTGATTTTCTACTTTTAGTGGTACTGAGATATGGTTAAACACTTAAATGGGGTTAAATATCCCTGCTTGCTCACAGTAACTTTCATGTAGGTTAATCAAAATTCAAGTTCTCTCACTGCCAAATAATCACTAGTCTAGGCATGAAAAACATCAGCTTCAGCCAAACAGCACTGTGTGTAGCTCAAGGAAAGTAAATAAATAACTTAGAGTAAAAGAAAACAGTAATAATGTTTACATTTTCTAATTCTCCAATATGTTGTTCAACTTGCTGAACCAGCCATGACAGCCCCTTCTATCCCTCATTAGAAGCAGAGTTTGAAAGCAAGCATTATCAGTACATTAAATTTTTAAAGCATGAATGACAGCTCTGTAGCAGAAATACTTTCATAATCACATTGTACCTTCAGGATGCCCTTAGTAATCATGTTATACTACCTAGTCAAAATTGAGTTTTGAAGACAGTGATATCTATTTGCTCAAGACCTGTTACCAGCTTTGTACAAGAGAACAATCTCATGATTTAGTGCTCTCTATTCCACCCTTCCCAACCTTTCACTACCAGGAAAGAGATCGGTGACTGTTCCCACAGGAATAAGAGGACCCATGACTTAGGTAGGTGTACGTGCTCTAGGTGTCCCTGTTTGAGTGGGGAGGTTGGACTAGGTGATCTCCAGAGGGCCCTTCCAACCTCAGCCATTCTGGGATTCTGTGTGATTCTGTGTGACCTTCTTGCCCCTTGTGTTCCCAGGCACAACTACAAGCATTAAATCAGCAAAACGATATGAAACTTAGGCCTGAAATAGAAATCTGTGTTTTCAATCAAAAAGGTCAGTGCTAGCCAGTCACAGCACTTTTCTGTATACTGTAACACTATAAATAGTGAAAATAAAGTAAAATAATTGAACACTAATTATGCAAGTTAGATTAGGCCAGCTTTCATCAGAGGACGGAGGTTTACATAACTGTTGTAATCATATATTCTCCTAGTGTTCCAGTGGCAGAGGCAATTTCATTACAGTGTAACGGGAAATAATTTCTTTTTATTATTTCTGTAATGTCTATTCCCCCTTGTGCTTCTTCCACCCAGGATGCCTTAATGCATCGCCTTTCCCATGTTCTCTGTTTAGAAAGCTAAGTAAAATATTCCACACACATCCTCCTACCAGTGCACTTTTTCCAAGAAAATCCGTATGTGCTCTGGGCTACGCTGTTTACTGAGACTTGCTTCTCAGAAAAGCAGAGTGACAAAAAAAAAAAGAAAGAAAGAAAAAAGGAAATAGACACCAACCTGAGCTATTGACTCTGGATCCAGTGGTTTGTGGTCATTGAAGCCTGTGTATTGACCAGACGACGTAGATCTTCTAATTGGAGGGGAATCAATCTTCTTCAGCGAGTCGTGCCTGCTGATGTTGGTGAGGCTGCCGTGGCCAGGCCGGCGCCTCCGCTCAGGGCTGTCTGCGTTGAGGCTGCGGTTCTGCAGGAGGGCTCGGGGGCTGCAGTGGCTCGCCAGGTTGGGGGATCCCAACTCCAGGGATGAATTGGAGAGCGGGTGCGGTGGGTGCACGGGGCAGTGGCCATCGCTGCTTCTGCCGGGACGTCTCAGAGGCGGCGGCGGTTCTGATCTCTTTCTTTGCCTGCCCAAACGGAGAAGTGCTCATTGGGTAAGTTGCCATGACCCACCATAAACACATGAAGAAGTAACTGCTGTGTTACTTGAGAGGCGAGCTCTGAGTACTGCTGCAAACCTGTTCTGCTCAAGCTTACCTGCCTGAATACACATCGGAGTGACGGTCAGTGGGAGAGTTCATGTCCTTTGATGATGACTTATCCTCAGTGATTGGCCCACTGCTGGCTTCACTGTCTGCTTTCTGGCTCAGGGTATCTGAGAAGGTATCGTCCCTGAACAAAACACACATGGTGAGGTGAGGAGTGAGTTAGGTGTGACAGAGATCATCTCAGCACTCACAGCTTTAATCCCCATAAGAAACAAAAAGCAGGCATGTTGTGATGCACTGTAGTCCCTTCTTGTCTCCAACATTTGTTGGTAATCCTTCTGTTTACTGAGTTCTTTCCATTTTGACTGTAATTTTCAGTAAGCAAGAACTTTGTCGTCTTTGGCAAAGCACATGCTTAATACTATAAAACGACAAAAGTTCAGGGCTGCATTTCTCCAATTCCTGTTATTCTGAAGTTAAAAGTCAGCAATTGCTAAAAAGAGATAGTCTAACTAAAATAGGTGCAACAGCAGCTGCCTGCTGATGTGCTGGGAACACATCCATAATGAAAGCAGCTTAGCCTCGCAGTAGCTTTTGGTTAAGAGCTGTCAATTCAAAGCAATAAAGACAGAAACAGCCTGTTTAGAGGCAAACCTATCTAAACCCTTAACCTCTCCAAGCCTTCAAAGCACTGTTCAATTTGGGAATTACTTTGTTAACAGCTTCCATATGTTTTTATACCCCACCAAGAACATTGTCACACTGGACACTGCTTACATATCCTGCACCACTATGTACTGGTGAGGAACAAGGCCATCAATCCCGTTGTGCCTGCCTTCCCACCAGTCTTCGGATGCTCGGTGATACAAAAGAAGGGAAGCTCCTTTTTTGAAAGACAGCTCTCGTGCAGATCTTCCAACGTAGTCAAACTTGGCTATAGCTTCTATAGGCTCGCACTCTGGGAGGGGGGAGGTAAAAAGAAGGGTATCAGATTCCAGATAGGCTTATCTGCTCCTTTTGGTTTCACAAAACTCACATATCACTTTCACTCAGCACTCATTAAGACACAGAAGTGACAGCGATCAGCTGAGCTAAGGCAGACTTCAGGCAGTGGTTATAATACGTCCTGTACAGAGAAATACAGTCAGCCTGAGCCCAGCTGGGCAACGCCTGGGTTGCTCTGGAAGCTTGAGAGAACCGAACAGAGCCGCGATGGCGACTGCAACGGCTGGGGCACGAGGGGCCCTCTGCCGCCTCACGCGCCGGCTCGCGCGCGTCTGGGGCAGGGGATGGAGGCGACGGAACAGAGACCTCTGACAGTACCAGCACATTCGGGTGGATAGACAGCGACCTGAGGAAGCAACGTGTGGCCCAGCAGAAGCAAGAGCAGCGCCTTTTAGCTGCTGCAGTGGTAGGAGGCATGAGGAGGGATGTGCTACCTAACCAGGCTGCGCTGACAGCTCTCATATCCTAAAACTATGAAATTTCTGTCTTTTATGTGATGACAGTGCAGACCCAGTGAAAACCTCTTATTTTAAACAATGCTGAGCTGAGTACTTGAATACGTGTAAGCTTCTCCTGATGCTCTCTTGGGTAAGGAAACAGATCCAGACCGCCTAAAGACGACTCCTACGCAAGGGCAGTCCCTGTGTGGCCTGAAATTGCTTAAGGCACTGCTGGCTGTTCCAGCATCCCACGTTCCTCTGGTTTCTTCTGGGGAGCTCAATATTTTTTGAAGTCAAACATTGCTTACAGCAGACCTAGCCTGTTTCCACACAGTGTGGAAAAGCCTTTCCACCAAGAAATAATAAAAGAATTTTTTTTTTGAAGGCCTGTCTTTCAAGGATGAAACTAAACCCACATTTTCTTCCCTCAGTATTTTTGTAAATTCAGGCTTACGCTGGTAAAGGATGCCAGCTTGCAAATTGATGTCAGTGAAGGGCCCCTGCTGAACATCTCCTTGCAGGTAGCATCAGAGCTGTCAGAATATCCCCTTGACATCAGTGAAGCAGCTGTGATTTTAACAACATCTATCTTCTTCTGCACAAAACCAAATGCACCTGAGCTCCAATAGATTCAAACTTGTCATCACTGTCCCAAAACATAAAGAAAAACCTGCAAAATACTAGTTTAAAAATCACACACTTTGTTGATCTGAATAACTCAAAGTAGAGCCCCCTGAAATGACAAATTTCTTTACATAATTAGAGCAATATTTAGATGGAAATTAACATCTGGGCTAATGACTAGCATAGCAGCTTCCTGTCTGGTGCAAATTAAAATCGCTGAGGCTGTAATTCCCCAGAGAGCCAGACTTATAATAAAAACCCCCTGTCCCTTTATGACAACATTTTGCGCAGGAATGTCTTTTTAAAATTAACCTCATCCTGCAGCATGAAAACGTAATGATAGCACCTTTGGTGAGGTTATAGTTTGCAGCTGTTTTTTAATAACTTGCCCAGCCTGCAGAAGGCTGCGCTGTGGTTTGCTGCTGTGCGGTCAGGTTAAGAACCGTCGGTGACAAACTGCAGCCCATTTTGGTCAGTCAGCTGTTGCAAAAACAGGATATCTCCAGAGATGGCACATAGTGGTGTTTTTGGAAAATCGGGAGAATTTTAATGCTGGTACATGCAACAGTGGTATATTCTAATATATGATCATGGTTTCATTTCTGGAGAATATATCTAAAACATATTTCTGACAGAAAGCATAGGTGTGACAAAGTGAGAAGAGGCATGGAAAGAGATGCCATCTGAAGAGAAAGTAGATTAAACATGCCTCTTTATCTTGCATCACACCATAAGAAAATGACATTAAATCAAATGGCAATAATATAAGCTGATAAAAGGAAATGCCGCTTTTGCAAACATCACACATGTAGCTTGTGGAATTCATTATTAGAAAACACTACTGATCTCAGGCAGAATTCAAAAGAGGACTTAGACACTTGTGTGCACAGACATTTGCATTAGATGTAAATTAGGGCTTATGAAAGAGTGGAAGCACAAGCTCCCAGGTTTCAGAGCCCAAGTCACCCACTAATGGGTAGGAATTAAAAATGCAAGCAAACAAATAACAAAACCCCCTCTACCACAAGCAGGCAAATGCCTAAGTGCCTGCATGTGTTTTTCACGGACCTTCTCTGAAGCTAACTGATGATGTTTATGGACACTGGACTGACTGATAAACCCTACACTGGAAAGCTATGGAATTTCCTGTTTGCACATTGGTTTTAACAGATGATAGAGTATCACACGCGTGCACACAGGTCTGAATCTCTTTTTGTTTGCAATTTAATGAACAAAACTAGGAATAGTTCCATCCCCCTTGGTGGAATTACAGTAACGTAAGAGCAGTACAAGGTAAGAGTCTGTTCTTTGCGTTCTCCCATGTCCTGTGCCTCACTGTAGATTTCAAGACTTACTCAGCTGCCTCAAGGAAGCTGCCCATTGGAAACAGCTGTATGAGCTGGTAACGTACTGGTAACGGATGTGACTTCTGAGACATATTTGTTAGATTTCCTGGGTAATAAACCCTACTTCCTCAAGGAGCAAACCTTGGTACCTCTCACACAGTCTTCTTAATAGAAGTTCAAATATAGATTCAGAAGGATTTTATTACTTTTAAAGGGACCTTTTGCTTGGTTGGGTGCTACTTTTACATGGACAACTCCTTCCTATCACAAACAGTATTCTGATTTTATTTCTTAAATACTAATTCACCTCTCTACAAGTCAAACTTGAATAGTTAAAACCAAAATAGTATGACAGTCACTCCCAGTAACAAATGCACTTTGAAAAGTTAAGCCATTTAATACCAAGGTTACTGAATGACAGACAAGCATTTTTCACAGAAGCAAAGGTGATGAAAGGTGAAATTTGGTAGCTTAGTCTCAGATTCTGCATGAAACTGAACTGTAATGTCTAGCAGTAAAATTGACAGCTTGGAAGGAAACATAATTGCATTTCTCTGCCCATACCCGAGGGCATTTGACTACAATGTCAAGAAGTACTTGATGACATATATGATCTCACCAGCTATCATCCCTGGTGTTTCAAGCAGGGATGTCCAAGTGCAAAACTAGGACAAACTGAAGAACGTTGGGAAAGGCTTCAGGGACTCTGTTCTCACTTTTTTACTCATTCCCAATTCTGTTAATATTTTTACTATATCTGGAGGCACATTTCCGTGCCTTGTTCTTACAACCCCAGGTTCGATGGCAGGTAGGTCTGTGCAGAGCCACCAGCTCAGTGTGCACAAACGGAGGTGCCGCTTTCACACCCGGGACCAGAGGGCTGGATGTGGGACCAGACGGCTCCCTGCAAAGGAGGTGCTGGCTGCACCCCAGGAGCTCAGGGAGGAGGGGAGGCCACCCCTGCGCTTCTGCGAGGTGGTGGCACCTGCCCTTGCTCGGTGCTTCCCCAGAGACCCTGTGTGTGCCCTGCCTGCCTGGAAAACTCTGTGTGCTGAGTTCCCTGGGAATGCAGTGGCTCCTGACGGGTTTAGCTGCTTCTGCTCCCTGCCCAAGAACACTGGGGCTTGGCAATTTTGAGGTCTGGTTCTCAAGACAGCAGTTCCCTGACTAGGGAACAACACAAGCAAAGAAACGGTGCCAGGTGTCAAAAGAGCAGAATTTGCCAAAATGTTGATCCCAGCATGAACTACTAAAAAGCAGTAAAAGTAGCACATGCTGGGGACACAACAGCAGCCTAAAACCTTACATGGACCTGTAATTTTTTGCTTTCAGCAGAAAAACTGTCTCATTTTCCCCCCCTTATTTTTGACATATCTATGAACTGTATTATACTAATGGTATGTATGTTTTTCCAGCAGAAATAACCCATCTGTTTAACTTCCTCAGGAAATTCTCTCTTACTTCCTTTGGAAACAAACCCGTTTTCATATGCCTCCAATGAGAATAAAAAATCTCCAGTAACTTAAAGAAAATATTCTAAAAACTGCTTGAGCAAGACATAAATAATATCTAATACTCTTTGAATCCTTACATAAGGGACATTATCAGGTAAGGATTTTCAGCAGCAAAATTAGATAAAAATAAATTTATTTGTGCCTCAGCTTGAGTCCAAATGGTCTAAACCTCACAAATTCAATTTAATTTCAAAATAAGACATTATAGCGAAACATGCCTCTTTTTCCTTCCCTCTTTTCCTTCCAGCCCTTCCAGTGATCAAGAGAAATATACAAACATGAGAATAGCCTTAGGGAGGAAAAAAAAAAAGATGTTTAATAGGTATAAAATTTGGCAGTTATATTTATATGCTCAGTTGTAAGCCCCAATCTTCTTTTCCACGAGCTTCCAGGTTTTACTTCTGCTGACGTACTCTGCTCTTTTTTTAATTGAAAAAAAATCTGTTTGGTTTGCAATTTGTAATTAAACATACCTAGTTCTGCTCAGCCACACACTAGAGGTGGGTTTATTCTAGTAGGCACAGAGTGACTCACTTGCAGTTTACCTTTATATAGCAGATAGCTCTTATAGCCACAAAAACTAAAGCAGAGGAACAAATCCTTTAGCTTTTGACCACGGTTTCTGGATTATGTTTCAATAATGTAGTAGTGGGGTTAGCAACCTGGTCTTGGGAACGTCTAGGACACTGCAGCATAAAGTGAATCAGATTTTTCTACATTAAAATTCCTGCATTTATAGAATCTGCTTCACCTATCTCCTAACAGAGGGAAATCACCACGTATCCGATCAATGCCACCAAGCTCAGAATGACAGTGCTGGGCCTCCCTTTCTCTCTCCCCACATATTACTGGCACTGATGCATCGAACCCATAATCAATGAATCAATCATATTAAAATGCCAAAATACTCTACACCCTTTAGCAGAAGCTTTCTCTTTGTCTGCCCAGGTCAGTCGGTGGCTCTCATGAGATTCAATATTCAAGCTGTAAAATTATCACCTCGTCTCATATCAGACACCATGAATATTTTATGGAAGGAATTGTCCAAGGGACAGGCACATGAATATACATGCAAAGAGATGGTGAATGCATTTCATTTAATGCAAGTGTCTGTAGCCTACATTAGAAAAACATCCTATTATAATGGAAAGTCTTTATCAATGGATTTTTCCAGGCTTCGTCTCCGCAACAGTATTTCCCTAAATCACAAATATTTCTGTGCTAACCACTATTTCACTGTAAACACAACTGCCTGCTTCCTTTCAGAACCAAATTCATTAAAAAGGTGTGATTGGGCAACTACAATTAAACTGCTAGGCAATCTGGTGAACAAAAGAACCCAACACCTTCTGAGTAATTCAGTCTTTCACCAAAGAGGCCCCTTACAAGTCAACTTCGCCATGCGGAGTTCAGGCATGGAGAGATGGATACCCTGGTGTAAGACAAACTACTCTCATATCCCGAGTTTTGCCACCAGCCTGGGCATGGCTGCGCACACAAACGCCACCCCTTTCCGACGGCTGCATCAAGAGGCTCTGCCTGCCCCTGCTCGCTGCAGCAGGGAGGACGGGACGGGCGACCCGGCCCTGCTGGCCCCTCTCCGTGACAAAGCAGGCAGTGGAACAATGGGTGACATTGTTCTGTGCGCAACGGGACCAGCACAGCCAGCTCGCCTATAGGTGCCCCTTCCTTTTGCCCTTCCCTATGGCAAGCATCCCAGCTCCTCTCTGGTGTTGCTTTTGACATCCTTTTACTTTTTTTTTAGAGTATTTTGCTCCCCTGCTGCTGTAGCTCTTTTCCCCTGCTCCCTCCCTTTCCGTCTCCTCCTCTTCCTCCTACGCATCCTCCACGGGGGACAAGGAGCAGCTTTTGCTCCTGCTGCTTCTCAGTGCACATGTGCTGGACACTGCGGTCTGGGCTGTGGTGCCCACATACTCGGTGAGCTCACATGGCAGTTCTTCTCTGCAGGGTGCAGTATTTTGCAATCTTGATCTCTAACTAGCTACTAAATGACAGGAAACGTGTCAGTATTTAACAGTTTTGACACCTCTTTACATCTGTTCATTTGACTGAAGCTGGCCAATGAGTTCAGAAGTTCCCCAGTGAGATATCTGAGGGATGACCCAATTGACATAACCCAAAGTCAAATAAACCGTATTTATTTAGGAGATCTGGCTCAAAAGAATTAACCTAATAATGATGCATCAGCTTCTTTATAGCTACTTCCCCCCACCGCATCCTGAATTGTCAGAGTGAATGAAGTTAATGTTTATAGGGAAGGCCTATTCTTCAGAACTCTTACTGATGGGGTATCAAGCTTTTCAACATCTATAAACCCTTAGGAAGGCATAGCTTTCAAATTTGGAACTGCATGTGGCATACAGAGTAGCAATTACCTCTTAGTTAAAATATTCAAAGACACACTTTTGATAAGTTTAGCTTTTTCATAGAACAGAGAAAAGATCACCAAAAATGAAACACTATATCAGAAAATAGTATATGCTGACTGAAACAGTCTCTCTCTTGCCCTTCCTATGACTGGGCAAACCAGGAGAGGACAAGGAAGCAGCTGGCCAAACACAGATAGATGAGAGCGAAAAAGCACACAAACAGGATTAAAAACAGTGGCTTTGCTACAGAACACCGGGACAAAAATCCTCTTCTCTCAAGTAACACACAATGAAGAAAGGAAGCAGATCTCCTGCATGAAACACCTGTAAAACTTCTATCAAAGGCACAATAAAGCCACAGACATACCGTCTTCGCTGGTGTGGGGCTCTGTACTAGCATCCTGGTCCACTTCCTCTAAGGTACCATGTTCACTGTATGGACTGTCACTGAAGAGAAACAAAAGGTTGAGCAGAAGGAGAAGCCACAGCATGAAACAGAAGGAGAAGCCACGGCATGAAATGGGTGCTTCAGAGGGCGTTAAACCTCAGTCACCGTCCTTCCCAGGCCTCAAGGGCAACTGAGTTTTTTTCACAAATATCCAGTATGTCACCCCTCCGTGCCATTATTTAACATTATCATTATAATGTCATAAAGTTATTTGAAAAGTAATTCTCGTGCCCTATGACGAATATATAATTACTGAAGAAGTCAACATACTTGTCCTTCAGATAGCAACTTCCTTCATAGAACTTTCCGGACTTTCCATTTACGAGAACTGTGTGCAAGTGGCTAAAAGTGGAGAGGAGCAAGGGGAAGAGTCCTGCATCTGCCACAAGCTGGAACTGGTTAGGGCAGTTCACCTCTATGAGCCTCCTGTCTGGCTGTGCACTCTGTGCACCTGGCAGCCCACTTGCCTCTGCCTGAACACAAGGGGAGCTCCCTCCACAAAACCTTGCAGGTAACATCCTGTGATCATTGTAACAGCCTCTTCTTCATTTGTTTTACAATTGACACTTCCCTTATGAACCTAAGTACTCTTCTTATTTACCTTCGTACTTCTATAGCTTGAGAAAGTCATTATAGATCACAAGAGTCAACTGGAAAATCTGAAGGTTTTGTTAAGAAGATAGAAGGATAATACTCAGACTTACCAGTAGTCATCTCCAGCCATACATTTTTCATACACTGGGCCATCGAGTTCCTTAGCATCTGGAAAAATAGCTTCATGATGGATGATGATAGTTTTTATTATTTCATTTACATGTGCCTGACAAGACACCTGGTCTTGTATGTCTGGAACAGGCATCAGTGTTGGCCCAAAACAAATGGCCAGGTTGTACGGATCCATCATGTTTTCATCACTGTACTGTGAAAGGCTGTTATAACAGAAAAAAAAAAAAAAAGAAAATTTGACTTATTCACTGCAACTAACCTTATTCTGAAAACTTGAGAAATTTTAATTTCCTCACGAGATTTCCCATTCTTCTTGACATTTACTCCAGCACAACATAACAAAAACCAAAAAAAAAAAAAAAATATATAAATTATGAAGTGAGCTATATAAATTACAAAGTGAGCTTCTGGTATGTAATGTACGTGTGTGCACATATGTGCTTCTGCACTGCTGTGTTTAGCATACACTGAGCTAATGGGCTAATGAAAAATGCATCAGCTGCTACTGCTTCTGTCTCATCAGGGCTTATCCTCAAAGGCCCAAGTGGAGTGGATCCTAAATGGGTTTACGTACTTACCAGTTCTCTTTAGACCTTGATGCATCTTTCCCATCCACTGGCTATAAAACTTAGCCAGATTGAATTGTCCTCTGGAGGTAACTCAGTTCCTGGATCTTATAAAGCCTCTTGTGACTTCTAGTTTCTGTTTTTATCAAGCAACCTAAAATCCCTGAGCACCTTGTCTTCTGCCCAGAAAATTCCATGGGAGGTTCATCTTGGAATCACCCGAACAAAAGACTTAGTTTTATTAAACAATTTCTGTATGCTTTTCTTTCCCCCCAGAAAAATCAGTATTATCAGTTATCAACTTGCTTTTTGAATGAAAAGTCGCTCTTTATTCCTCTACTTCAGATTTCTCACAAGAGACTCTCGCTTTTGATTGTATCTGTGCAGAGCCAGACAAACATAAACTGAATCCCTTGGACACCCTTTACCTCAGTACTGTTCTGCGCCCTGAAGCATTAGTATGTTTGCTTGTGCTTAAATACAGCAATATCTTCCCTTTAGAAGGGGAATTTTGGAGAGAGTTTGTCACATACAACAAACACAAGCTGAAGAAGCAAACATTCTAAATGTGTTAACTGGAGACATCCTGTTCTTACAGATTTATAAAGGTGTTTCTGTTTCATCCTTTATATACACAAGGTAGTGCCACAAGGAGGATAGATAGTGACGACTGTCATGGTGAAACATGAGCAGTCCTGCTGGTGGCTGGAACGTCACCATTCCTCAGGGGCCACGGCTGGGCTGACACCGTTTAACACATTCATGAACAACCTGGCCAGGGGCTGGCAGGCACGTGCAGATGGCACCACATTGCAGGAGGCAACAGGCATGCTGAAGGACATGGCCACTGCTCAGAGCAACCTTAACAGGACAGGGCAATGGGCTAATGGGAACTTCAGCAAGTTCATCAAGGATGAAGGCAAAGCCCTGTGTCTGGGGCAGAATAACTGCATGAGTTACCCCAGTCCGGAACTGACTAGCTGGGTAGCAGCTCCCAAGGGAAAGCAGTGGGGTCCTGCTACACAACAACCTGGACGTGATTCAGGACATTCTCCCTAGCAGCAATGAAGCCTAATTGTGTTCCTAACCAATTTAGGAAGAACATAGCCCAGCAGCTCAAGGGAAGGGATTATGCCCCTCCACTTGGCACTCACATAGATATATTTGGGATGCTGTGTCTAGTTCTGGGCCTCCAGTACAAGAAAAATTAATAAACTGCGTAGAGTCCAGAGAAGGACCACTGAGGGGGTTAGGAAGCTGAAGCACAATGAGTACAAAAGAGGGAGAGGGAATTTAGCTGCAACCTTCAACTACCTAAAGGGGAGGCGTAGGCCAGATAGAGCAAGACTCTTTTCGGAGGTGCTCAGCAAAAGGATGAGAGGGAACAGACACAAGCTGCAGCAAGGGAGATCCCTACTGGAAACAGGGAAAAAAATCTTCACATTGGAACAGGCTGTCCAGAGAGGCTGTGGATTTTTTGGAGAAAGCTTGACCTGAGAAATCCTTGAGCAACTCGATATAACTTTTGAAGTTTTAAGCAGGAAACAGAAGTCTACTTGCTTGCATATCCTTTTTTCAGAAGTTGCCTTTCTTTTGTATCATGAAAATCCAACTAGTTTGTATCAAAACATACATAACATGGGGCATTCTCCTTAATTGTAGACCCATTATTAGAAAATACAGCAGAAACATGGAGTCTCTCTCTGGCTGAACTTGGCGTCAAGTAAATAGCTTGCAGTGCCTATGTTGCTTGCGTTTACTATTTATTTTTCCCATCAGGATATTAAATCATCTTGGGATGGGAAAAAATTCTACTTCTAAATTATGTGAATTGTTTTTAATGTAGCTACAGTTTGTGTATGTTATTTTTCTTGCTTTACTGGATTTCACTTGCACTCCCCATTTCAGACAACACTTTAATCTGTCTTCTTAGAACTTTACCCAGTTTGGGACGAATGGAATTCTAATCTGCATGAAAACTGTTTTACTTCTACTTTCTTTGCCAAATAAAATATTATCTTTTGTGTTCAGTGAAGCTTCAGTGTAAATTCTCCACTGAGTATGAGTAAACACAACAAATCCTGATACCCACAGAGGGAGGTAGATAAAAGGTACAGTATCTTGAGGAATTCTAAAGCACTTACTGGTTGAGGAAGGCAAAGAGGTATCTCATCACTATAAGGACCGACCTGGGCAAAGTAAGGAGGAGTTTGCGGATGTGAAGAGCCCTCTCACAGAGATTGTCTATTCCTGTAAAACATAAGAAGATACTTTAAATTATCTTTCCCATTATGGTCCAAAACAGCATTCAGTCAGTTCACTCAAATGGCATTTGTCTCTTTAGTATTACGTGTCCCTGCCAGCACCTTCTCATTTGGGGCAATTAAAAAAAAAAAGAAGCCCTAAAAGTCCCATCCCTCTCATTGAAATCATATGCACTTTAAAAGTAATAAATTCAAACACACCGTGCAGATCTGCTGAAGTCAAATTCTCTCCCACCTGCTACACAGCTCATAAAGCCACAGTATTAGTACAAAAGTAATCTGAAGGAACCAGGAACAGAAGTTTGTCCTCAATTTCAGACACAGATTCATTCTCTTTATTTGAATGTGGATATTGGAAATAACACTCCACTCACTAAGGTTCTCTAATCAGTATTTTTTATCACCTCTCCATTTGTAATTCCAATAATAGCAAAGCAGCCAAAAGACTTTATGTTTTTCAACATGTAAACAACAAATCCAAAGGTCACATGTACCTTCCCCACCAAAATTCTTCTGAGGTGAGCAAAACAAAGTCAGCTGAAAAAAAAGTCACTTTCTAATGTAGAATAAGAAGGATAAATTATTTTTTCTTGTGTTGGTCAGAAGCATGTGCTACAAGTGCAGGCAAGGATGGGGAAAGAAGACAAACTATCTTCCAGAACAACCGGTCTCTGAAGTTTCTAATCAGTGTGTTTTCTATGTAATTTAACACTGCTAGAAACAATCTATAATGTCAGCAATGCTCCTTAT